GAAGAAGAAGAAGAAGAAGAAGAAGAAGAAGAAGAAGAAGAAGAAGAAGAAGAGATACATGTATAATTAATTTTCAGAGCAGAACTGGAATAATACAATAGTATTAAACCTGGGCTTGGCAGGATATCAACGAATGTCTTATCAGTAGCTTACATGCAGAGTTTACAACTGGTCAGGTCTTAGAAACCTAGTTTTGCAAGAAACAAATTTTTAAAAAAGCAATGCGAGGAAAAAGTGAAAGAGTAGGTTATGCCTGAAAATTCACCAACATCGTTTATTCGTTATTTTGACATTTTTTTCATGCTTTGTCCAAAATGTGTCGCGCAACCTAGTTTCTCTTACTATATTAATATGTTTATAATGTGTGAATATTTTCATTGCTGCCGTCTAGCATGATAGTATGACTTTGTTCTTTGATGATTTTTGTTGTTGTTTGTTTTGGTAATTGTTTTACGGTGCTCCCAAGTGCATAAGGAAGGTCTTTCGGGTGCGCGGGACACATAGGACATTTTCAGTTTGGTAGGAAATAATTTTGAATTTTGCCCCGGTGGTGGCTGAAGCCTACTCGTATCGGTTTTGGACCACCAGGGATCTTTTACGTACGCTATTTGCTCACGGGACATCCGAGATTTTCGCCCTAATCCGAGAAGGCCATGTGTTAGGTCTTACCTACCCTAAGATCAGGGGTGTGGCTGAAAGACAGCAATAAGAAGAAGCCAAAGCGTAGCAGTGGGAAAGGCTGCAGAAAGAGTTAGAAGCCCAGTGGAGGGGGCAAAGGGAGGAGGGGGTGATGGCAGAAAGTTGAGGCGAAAGCAGACGACAGAACATAATTAGAGAGCCGGAAATGAGGTGAAGGGAGAACATTTAGAGAAGAAAATTTTCCATTGCTTTCAGTTTCAGGTTTCCAGCACGGGACATATTGAACGAGGGGCTAACATCGTAATCTCTTGTCCACGAGAGCCCCTCGTTCTTTGAAGGAAAGACAGACTCTGTAGAGTTGGTGTAGAATGTTTCAGGTTTTGACTAACATTGTATGGCCATGTTATACCATGCAAAACATTAAAAGTACATTTAGATCCAACAAAAATATTGTGAGAGCCGAGAGAATTATGGTCAAGATAACGATTTCTGAGTTCACGTAGTTTCAAGGAAAGCGTTATCATGATCTGCTTTGTTTGATTATATTTTTATGCCCTCTGTCTCGAATGGAGTCCACACCACACCAAGGTTATTTTCCCAGCCTAAAGCACACGCTATCAATTATTTACTTTAGATATGGGAAGAGATTCCTCCGAGTCCGAAAAGCTTGGTTTTTTCTGTTTCTCTGCTTCGGGAGACTCATTGGCCATTGTGCTGCTCCTGAAGAAAATACAAGAAACAGTAGCGTTGGAGTTAGTGCTAGCTAATGACACCGTAAACACGTTGTTAGTTGAAAGCGATATCGCTGGAACCTTTTTCGTTCTCTGTTTTCATCTTTGTCCCTGTCTCAGACATGCCTGGAAATGATAGAGAACACACATTTGCCAAAAAGGGAATTATACAGGAATAGCATTACATTCCAACACAAAACAAATAATTAAAAGCAAACAGCAAACACGATTGGATAAAAAGATGGGCTTTGGGAAAGACAGGCAGAGCAGTTTTTAAATATATGACTACAATAAAACGAAACGACAATAGCAATTACCAACAGAGAAATGAACAGATCATAATCTTCCGCCTGCGAACAGAACATTTATACAGCTCAAC